AGCCTCCACAATCAGGAGGAAAATGGCTCTTTGCCGGTGGCGGCTCAGAATGCAGAAAGAGGGTCGTGGAAGAAGCCGAGAGGGTTCGGTGAGATACCTCCAGGCCTCCTACGGTCAGAACGTCCAACTCATCTCCCGCCAGAGGCTGAAAGCTCTTTGGGAAAGGCCTCACGTCCCCTCTCATATCTGCCTCCTCGTCCGGCCATAATATGCCTTTATCTTCCACGTCTCATTTCTCTTATTTCACCCTTGAGCACTTCCCTCTACGTGATCGTCCTCAGCTGGCTGTCATATTTCCGGGGCCCCGTGAAGGCCTCATGCATGGAACGCTAATTGACTTTGTCCCGCCCCATCAAATCGCAGACTGGGCCAATCGTGGCGAACAATCCAACTCTGCAATTTCTGCCTGAAGTTAGATTTCCAAACTCCATGACGGCCGTTCCTAACACCAACAGTCAGAGCAGAGAGCCGTGCAGCTTCAAGCGTTTAAAGAGTTTGTTTCTTTCAAACCAGGTGATGGAAAAGAGCTTTATTCATTTTTTATTTCTTAATGTAATTGAAGCACGACTGCGGTGAGACTGGAAACGCAGGCAGCTTGCGAGGGGACGAATCTGACAGCGAACACAGAACATTATCTTCCCATGAAGCAGCACTTCTAAGGTGCGCTAGCATACGGACTTTCACACGTAATGCCTGACACACGGTTTTATTGGAAATATTAACTATTCATTCAGGGACCGCGTGATCTCCATGGTAACGTAGCTCCGACAGCCTGAGCTGCTGGTAGGCGAGGAGGGCGGGACTTCGCCACGGTTGATTCAAGGCAAAAATGTGGAAAATTGCCATGGTTTGTTTTTTCATATTGTGTGTTGAGTTACGCCTCGACGAGTCCAACGCAATAGAATATCTGACTGATAACCATCATCCCTCCATCTGTGGAAACAAACACACTTTTCCCAGAAATTGCCGTCTATAAATTTCTCTTTTTAGACAAAAACATACAAAAGCAAGTGTGGAAAACCTCGAGTCTCTGACGGCGTCATCAAGCCAAGAGGAAAGTGTTCATTGCTGATGCACATACAGACCTTTATGATTCACACATGATACAGTCAGAGGGACGCGTGGGTCTCCATCTCATACACACTTTTTTTACTTAGTTAGCGCTTGAATACCCCCCCCCGTACCCCCCCCTCCATTTCCTCTGAGCAAATGGTGAATTCCCGGTGACAGCGGCATGTCTTTGCTTGTGTCATCGCCATGGAAACAGTGATGACACAAACAGAACAGATGTCAGTCGACCGGCTGCGACTACGAATCTCTCTCCTTCCTCGTGAACGTCCCAAAGGCTGCACAGCGCGTACTGTGTGTACTGTGTGTACTCTGTGTGTACTGTGTGTGTACTGTGTGTGTACAGTGTGTGTACTCTGTGTGTACTGTGTGTACTGTGTCCACTGGGTCGTGGCCCTCTCCTACATGTGCAGAGATGTGTCCCCAAAACTACGACAAATCTACAGAGAGACGTTGTGTGTTGCGCACAACACACACACACACACTCAGGAGTGTCTCGTCGCATGAGGCCTTCTGTGTTTCTCTGCCCCCATTTCTTTTAAGCCGGAGGCAAGAATGAATATTAACCAAGGGAGGACGGCAGCGCTCACCGCACAAACTGGAATCCTGGCACTGGTCGATTTAACTAACTGCCCCGATATATTACACACACACACACACTAGGAGAGCGTGGTTGTGCAAGTATGCACGTGTATTCTGCTGCTGCAGCTTTTCCGCTGCATGGACTCATCAAGGCCTCAGATGGCTCCACGCTCCTGTGGATTGATGGAAGACAGTCTGATGTGACGCGCTCTGAAATCCCGCCGATCAATAATCGATTCACTCGCCATCTTTCACATGGCGCTTTCACACCGTCTTTGTCCCCCTCAACATTTGCCAAGTATTCATTTATTACACATTTAAGGCCTGTCTTCGCTCTCTCGGTTCCCCCCTTGTTGGCGGCTCTGGGAAGTCTCTCTGGGAGACGGAGGCCTGTCGCTTCTCATTAGATCACACGGATGTGGAGACGAGCGCCGTGCAGCTGCAGAGTCTTCACGCGCTCTCACTTCCAACGTAGCGTCGCCCTGAAACACAGGCGGTAAAAAGAGGAGCGTTTGTATCCACCTGACTGAGATGTGCAGCACCTCCAACACGTGCAGGCGAAGGAGGCTCGTCTGAGCCAGTGGAGTGACCTTCACCACGACCTTTCCCCGGCCTCGTCGTTTGGTCACACAACTCTCCCCCCGCCGTGATCACATTACATAATACAAGATGGAATTGGGAATTTCTTGAAAATGGATGTTTGAATTGTGTCTTTAGCAGAAATATTCTGTTCTTCACAATAAATAAAAAATAAAAAATAAATAAATATTTTCGATTATTCTGTTCTGCAACAATGAAGCATTTATTTAACAACCTACAGCCGTTTTACGTGCATCTGACAGTTGCACCTTCTCCATGGCGACGGCAGCTGAGGCTCATGGGAGTCGGGGTCCGGCCCCCTGACCTGAGCACTTCTGTGGGTCACAGTATTCCGTCTCCCTCAGACTCTTGTTGTACAGCCGGATACTGTGTAAAACAACGGATGCTTACAGAAACATAAAGCTTTTCTTTGTGCACCAAGAGTCCTGCACCTCAACTAGTACTAGTGGTAACACCACTAGTGGTAACACCACTAGTGGTGTTACCACTAGTGGTGTTACCACTAGTACTAGTACTAGTGGTAACACCACTAGTACTAGTACACCAGTAGTAACACCAGAATACAAGATAAAGATGTTTCCATTTCATATGCAAAGCTGTTTCCCTGTATAGAGATGACCGCAGATAACCTGATAACGCAAATAGTTCCCTGAAGTGTGAAGCCGTTTTTCAGTTCTGCTTTAAGGTGTGAAAACCTTTTTCTTCATCAGACTGGATATCAGCCCCCCCCCCCCCCCATGGAGTTGGTTTACTGGAACTTCTCGTTTCATCGACGCTTCTGTGATGTACCGTCATGAATATTGACCCCCCCCCCCGGAAAAAGCCGGCCTGTCTGAAGACGTTAGCGGTGAGGAACTGGGTCTGCGTTCTGAGAGGGACGGTTAGCTGGCGTTGATCTGCTGACCTCAGCGTGGCGTCCGTCCCGTCAGCAGATGGGTTTTTATCCTCCTGTCTGCTCAGATGCTTCTGAGGGCTCCGAGTAACCTCACATTTACTCTCCTGCTTCATTGCAGCGTTGGTTGGCCGTTGAGTGCGTTTAAGCGTTGAAGTGAATCCGTTGATGAAGCGGAGGGCGGGCCCTCTTCTCCACCCATCGCGGGTGGGTCCAACGCCGTCGTTGGGCCGCTCTGTCCTTCCCTGGCGCCGTCTTTGTGGACGCGGCTCCCAAGTCGTGAGGGCGACTTCCGACAAGTTCAAGTCAGGACGAAAAATGCTGCAGTGTGGTGCTCAGTCACAACCTGCAGCCACAGGTCCAGACATGCCGCGCACGCACGACCTCCACGCTCTGGCTTTGGAAGCACGCCGGATGGAAGCAGAGCCCCATTGCAGCTCGAGCCCCCTGCTGACGACAGGAAGCGGAAAGTCTGTAAATACGATCCCAGCCGACCGTTTCCTGTTCAGAGCGCGGCTTCTGCTTCCAACTTCCCCCGACTGAAGCGTCCTTTGAGCGCCGAGGACACGCTGCGCTGGGCCTCCGTGGGCGCGTCCCGACACGCTGGCATTTCAATGCGGTCCATTTCCTGTTTGCCTTCTCTTCCCTCCCACCGAGACCAGCAGCTCATTCAGGCGACGTCCACAGCACATGTTGGTGGGGCGCTTAGGAGACAGACACGGGACCTTCACCCAGGAGGCAGATGTTCGTGTCACACGTCAATGCGACGCTCTCATCCACGTTCTTCTACCTCCACTTGGAGGAGTTTGCAGTCACAGCAGAAAGCTGTGCGTGAATATCCAACCGACCTTTGGTGCTTTCACAAAGCGTCAATACAACAAGCATTGTGATAAATAGTGAGGAGATATGTATGTTAGTAAGGCGAAGAACCAAACACCTCGAGCGCATCATAAATGACATCCCTTTATTCTCACGCAGCTGCTGAAAAAACAAAAACAGTCTTTTGTGATACGATATCCTAAATCTAAGACGACATCTTTTCTCATTTAGCGGCAGAGGTGTAATATTTAAATATGGCTCAGCCTCTTTGCATAAAGGTACAAAAGTAAATTGTGGTAACTGGGTTGCAAAGTACAGAACTTGTGTGCACCAGCGTGAGGTTGTGCAACTACACTTCAGCCTTAAGAGGTGAACAAAGGAACCAAGACGGACTTATGAACACTTAGTCGACCTTTTATACCCAATCAAGCCGTAGAGGTGCTAAAACGCTGCCGCACATATTCACCCAGTGCAGGTCAGCGTGAGCAAAGACACAGATCAACACGGCTTTTACTTTGCTGCTTATTCTCAAACGCAACATGTGCAGTTGGGCAGATATTCATCTTTTTTAAAAGTTTGATGGAAAATTTGATAAAAGGACTTTTATTTTGGTGACTTCGATGGCGAATTGTGAGGCGTTCAATCCGATCAGTTCACCGTGGCGTCAATGAGAGAACACACGTCACGCTCGTGTGGTGACGACAACATCCAATTCAACAGGATCAATGTCGTCACCGTAATTCAATCGGTGCAAACAGATTGATCGATTTGCTCACCATCAGGGCGCGCGTGCCTTCAGAGACACGGGGGGGGGTAAATGAAAGAAGGGGAGGACAAAGACAAGGAGACGAGCGGTGAAAGGACACGACGGAGACAAGAGGGCGAATGCAGTGATTGAAAGAGAGATGTGGAGGAAAAGGGGGAGGAGGGGGGGCAGTTTGGGGGTGGAGTAATTCAGAGAATGCGAGCCGCTGCCCCCCCCCCCCTCCCTCCCTCCCTCCCCCCTCCTCCGGGGTGGGTATTCATCCTTCAGCCCGGTAGCGGACATTAGTGAGGAGGAGCCCGGCAGAGCGGGACGCGTCCAGTCGAGGAGGCTTTCAGGGTCACCGGGAAGCGGCTCGTTCCGACCGCGAACGCATCCGGCCGCTCGTTTTATTCACATTTTGGGGCTTTTTCCTCCCGGTTCCGCTGTATGACTCCGTGCTGTTGGATTCATTTCAAACACAGGCTCTAATATAGAGAATATAAATGTTATATATATTCTCTATATGCGTGTGTTCTCATTGAGAATCAGTCCCACCCTCCTCCGTCACCACCAACTTTGGAGCCGCGAGCGGCCCGGGCGGGGGAGCGAGCCTCGGCGCGCCGCGCGGCCGTGCGGGAGGAGACGGCCAGCGGCCGCTCGTTTTTACCACCGCGCGGAGGAAGCGGGGCGGATTTATCCCCAATCACGCCACGGGAATTAAACCCGCAGGAGATTCCACGGTCAGTTTGCGTCCCTCTTCTGTCGCCCCTGCGCGTGTGTGTGTGTGTGTGTGTGTGTGTCCGCGTGTGTCTCGGCTGAACGTGTCTCCCTCCTGGGGGGGTCTGCGTGCGGGTTGCCGGAGAGAGAAAGTGCCCGTCGGACTGGGTCGATCGGGGGGGTCGAGCCCTCGAGCCGCTGCTCCAAGGCTCCAGTCTGGACTGTGTATGAAATGACATCCGGGTCCTTCCCCGCGGGGGGGGGCAGAGGCTCTGTGGGTCGGGGATATTTTTAGGCGGTGTTACGCTGTTATTAGCTGCCGCTTTAACCAAGCGCTCCTCCACGCTCCCTTCTCTCCTTCCCTCCCTCCCTCGCCTCCTTGTCTCCTGCTCTGTGGACAGCTGGGTCCCACCGGTCCTCTGCCCCCCCCCCGGCCCGAACAGGTGCATTGTTATTGGGTTTGAAGCAGGGCCAGGACGTGCTGCAGGCCGGGGGGGGCTTCTTATTTTAACACCCTGTGCCCCCCCCCCCTCTCTAATTCCACCCTCCGTGTAACACACAAAATGTGCACCCGAGTGACGTCATTGCTCCCGGGGCTCTCCCGGGGGGGGGCAACACGCTGGGGGGTCGTCGTGATTCCTCTCACGTAGGCTTCGCCATGGAGACGTTTGACAGCCCGGGGGGGGGGGGGGGTAAATAAATGATATGTTGTCCCGTGCTGACGGGCCGCGGGTCTTTCTCCGGTAAACCGGGGACATCAGATCCGGTTCGGTGACACGGGTTGCGCTCACGGCCTCCAGGTGCGTGGTGGTGCGTTCACGGTAATGGGATCTTTGAGCCTTTCTGCTCCTGTACACTACACGGGTGTCACACACACAACTTTCCACGTGAATAACAACACACACTAAACACGCTGCAAAGTGAAAACCCAACAAAAGTGTTTCCCCTGGTTCCCCTGCCCAGAGAGCAGGGAGTGTGTGTTTATATACATATCTCTTTCTATATATATATATATATATATATATATATCTATATATTATATATACATATCTCAGTATGTGTGTGTTTATGATGCTTGTTACTGGAACCAGCGTTCTTTTTCCCCATCGGGCCCGATTTCAAAGGTGTCCATTAGAGACTCTGCGGTTCTGATGGAGATCTGATTGTTGGGTAATGGGCGTTCTGGGGGGGCAGAGGGGTCCAAGCGGTCCCCTGGGCCTCATTGGTCTCCAACTAAAGCCCATAGAGGAGGTCCGCCTAGTTTCCCATCGACCCCTATGGGCACTGATCAATACCGGTTCTTCATCCATTCCTCCTGTGTGCGTGTGTGTGCGTGTTTGTGTGCGTGTGTGTGTTTGTGCGTGCGTGTTTGTGCGTGTCATGGCGTCATGGCGTCATGTTGACACGATGCTGGGCTTTGTAGACTCTAATCCTCTACACAGAGAACACTGTTTGTTCCGCCTGCAGGAGGAACCTCCTCCACTGAGGAGGGTGATGATGTGTATCTGTGTGTGTGTGTGTGTGTGTGTGTGTCTGTGTGTGTGTGTGTGTGTTTGCTTCTGCACCAAGCTGTTAGTTTGTTCACTTAAGTGTGTGTTTGTGCGCCACATGGTTTGTGTTTGTATATATTTTTTAATTCATTGGTTTGAAGCTAGTAGTTGGTTGGGTGCTCGTGGCAGTAGTACTAGTACCAGTAGTACTAGAAGCAGTAGTACTAGTACCAGTAGTACTAGTAGCAGTGGTACTAGAAGCAGTATTACACGGTTCTCAGCGCTGTGGAGGAACGGCCACGTTTAACCTTGGTGCCACTTTATTGCCCCAAGTAAAGCTGCTGCTGCCCGGCGCCCCCTGCTGGAGCGTCTGAAAAGTATCATGAAACTAGAGACCATAAACGTCTGTTTACTGAGGGAATAAACAAGTAGTCATTTTCTAAAATAAGCATCTCACTTTCTATTTTATTTCACGAGAAGCAGAGCACACACACACACACACACACACACACACAGTATTGTGTGAAAAGAGGTCCTGTTTCTCCGTCCTATCTCTCTTCTGACCTTTAGAGGCAACATACACACAGGGTGTGTACATTGTGTGTGTGTGTGTGTGTGTTCACGTATCAAAGGGTCGACACCAGCAGAGGCCTCTGAACGGAGCCTCAGTGTCCAGCAGAAAAGCTGCTGCTTGAGGCTGAAGAGGCTCAGATCGACTCGTGGTGATGGACACACTGTGTGTGTGTGTGTGTGTGTGTGGAAACACTTTGGTTTTATTTGGGATTTTTTCACCCCCCCTTACGGCGTCCGTGAGGTTTAAAGGCGCTCAGTAACTTCTGACCTGAAACAAAAATAAAAAGTAGTACAAAGTATAAACATTGAATACGTCACAACGATGTCTAGTTGATGATTTAGCAGAAAGAAGCTACCGCGTTAGCGTAGCGCTGGCCGGCCCTTTTCATTTTTCATTGCAATAAAATAACAGCAAAAAACACCTCCTAAGCCCCGCCTCCTCTAAGCCCCGCCTCCTCTGGAGCGCCTTAAAAAAACGGAGGAACTCGCTCAAAAAAGCATGTCCATGTTTGAAGGAATCCTTTCCATCCCGTCGGCATGAGAAGGATTCCTTTCCTGGTTTTTTGACAGAAGGTGGACCCCCCCGGCCCCCCCATGCGTCTCATGTCTCAGAGCAGAGGACGGTCTTCTCTTCCTGCTCTGGAAGGTACACCAAGGTGAGCGTGTGGGAGATGAGCTTCAGAAGCTTACGGCACTTTTCCTCCCTCCTCCAGCCCTTCTGGGCTGTAAGGGGGGGGGGGGGGGGGGCATCAATTTCTCAGTTGGGGGTCGCCGCGGCCCCAAAACCGCTCGGGTGAGGGCGTCCCCGCCGGTCATTCAGGACTGGAAAAGAAAAACGAGTCCCCGGTT